ATATTTAAAAATCATCAATTGCACAAGCAAATCAATAGAAAATTAGAGAATAAAAAATAAAGCCAAGGAAAAAAGTCACCAAAAAAAAGTCCAAGTCTCACATTGATACAAGTAGTTGGCTTTCGCAAGCATTCACAATATCCAATTGCGCTAGCTGACAAAGAATTACATCCAGCTAAAACTTACAAAAAGAGCTAAGCAATATATATTCAAAGCTGCATATCAATGAAATTATTTTGTACATGTCTTAGATAGGGGTGTGCATTAGGTTGGTTCGGATGAATCAGTTTTAAAATTTGGCTAACCGATCTAAACCGAAATCCAGAAACCAAACTACCGAACCAAATATTATTTTGCTAGAACCGAACCAATCAAACCGAAATTTCTGTTTAAACGGTTCAGTTTTTGATAAACTGAAATATATGTATTTGATATACAAAAGATAAAAAAAAAAACACAGAATATTAATGACTTAGTTACAACAAGTGATTTTCAATTGATCAAAATAATTTGATTACAAATATAGCTTATATAATAAGAGGTGCGGTACAAAAATGAATTATAAAGTTTTAAAAAAAAAAGAAAACAAAGCTTTACAAAAATGCATAAATAGCTTACATGAATCATAAATTCTTAATAATACAAGAAAGTTACACATAATTTTAAGCACTTTAAGATTTGTTTTATTCTATAATTAATGTTCATTGAGAATTGTCAAGAGTCTTCTCTCTAACTTGTTTACTTGCCTTGATGCCTTTGGTTGAGCTTCATCACCATTAAAACCAACTTAGTATTTTTGCCAACAACTTACAATTAATGTTTAGTTTTGATATACAATGGCCTCAATGAAAAGAGACGAAATACACCAAATGAAAGCAAAAGCCAAAAAGAAGCTCTCTCCAAAGGGATAGAGAGAGCTCAGACTATACAACGGCCTCAATGAAATGCTTCATCCAAACAATATTGAATTCTAAAATAAATAGAGCACCGGCAAGTCGAAGATTTAATACCAAGACATAATTGTCCAAACAAATATATTCGAGCATCAATCGTGTAGGTACGCTGGTTGAGCACATTGATCTTGTTGTAGATCTTATCATTGCTCTACAATAACGACATACCAAAGAAAAGAAAGGCGAGAAACCAAATCGAAGTATACCAAATCAAAATCTGCTTTCCACCATATAAAAATGGGATAAATCTGTTCTTAAAACGCTTTGATATGCTTTCTTTATACATGTTTTTTTTTTTCAAGCATCAAGCATATCGTTCAACTTGATCCCCTTAAAATGAAACAATAAGACTAAATAGAATATGTAAATGCACCATCTAACCATCGAGCGTATCAAAATGAACCCATAAATTTCTTCAACAGTTCACTCTAGTGACCCTACTGCTCAGTAAAGATTAAGAAGTGCATACCTTAATTGTAGAAGAAGATAGAGTAAAGGAAATTAGGGAAACAACTAGAAAGGGAAAGCAAATGTTTGAAAATGCTAGAGGTGTGCATTCGTGGGAACTGAGATATCCGAGAACAAGAGGATCAAGACTGTTCAGACCTCTCCCAATTTCCCATTTCCACCACTGAGTCTCGACATCTCAACACGGGCATTCCAGCCCTTACGTTCACCCTTACTCCAAAGAGCGAACAAACCTCTTAATCGAGGCGAGCCAGGCTGCCAGCGATAAAGGCAACAAAGCACGTATCAATCAGTGTTGGGGGCGAGGCGAGCAGCGCGGGCTGCTCAACAACTTTGAAGAATCGAAATGGAAAGCGAACCCAAACTCTCTCTAAGTAAAAGATACATTTCAGTCTTCCGCCGAAGTACCGAACCATAGGAATAAAATTTCAAACTTCGCTAGTTTCGCGGCTTCGCCCTTAATACTCTGTTTTCAGCTAAATCGGTTTTATTTTAAAAAAGAAAGAACCATTACCGATAAACCAAAGTATGCAGATTTTAAAACCAAATACCGAACCATCACTTCAAAAACTGAACCAAATCAATAAATCAGGCCGGTACAGATCAGCTTTTGGATTTATCCAAATAGTGCACGCCCATAGCATTAGATACCAATTTGTAATAAAAAATTCACTACAATAATCCAAGTCTCAAATTGATTGGCCGAGATAGCTTTCTCCATAAGTGAGCAATAACAATCACTCTAGTCTAAAAAGAATCATATCCAACCCAGCACTTCAGCAAAAAATAAAATCAATATGTAATCAAAGCAACATACTAATGGAAGTTTTTTGGACATGCCTTAGATTCCATAATAATCACAAATCGCTTCAAAATCAGAAGATAGGTTTGGCGGATTTATTATTGAAATATCACTGATAAGTAACACAAAAAACTTGCAGTTTATAGAAAGCAAAAAATCCCATAACCTGAAAGTTTTGGATAGCTACAAAACCCGAAATTCCTTAATAAAAGCAGTAGCTTCCGGCACTTAACAGATCCCTCAATTCATGCTTAGAGCAAAAAAAGCAACAAGTTGTGCCCAGGAACAAAGGCAATAAATTAACAAATAACCACCACCAAACCAAGCTAACAGAAGGTGAATCAAACAGTACTAAAGGAGGAGAGATAGATTTAAACTGCTATAGAACTCAAACCCCATCAATTAAGAGTAATCATGTAAATGCTTGCCAAAAGAAAATTAAATTTTGCAATAATAAACTTCTAAAATAAAATCAACTAAACAAAAGTCAATATTTGGAAAGTTAATTTTCTTCAAACATAGCTTGCAATTTTCATAAGTATAAACTTTGGAATTTACATGAAAAAGAGATATATCTAGCCATTTATAAATGCAAAAGGACATTAAAGCTAGAAAAATGCATGATCTTGATTTTATTATTGCAAAATTTCTCATATAAAGTCACACAAAAAAAAAGTGATTGGACTCCACTTTGCTTGAGTGGAAAAATCAAAAAGGGGAGAGGACACCATAAACTTTTACTTGGAAGAGTGTTGTTTGATCCACCTAGACAAAGTGGTGCCTAAAAACATTCTGTATAAATTGAATTGCATAGAAAGGCTTTATCCTTTTATTAAACTTTGGGTAGACATAAATAATTAAATTATATTCTTAAAATGTCAATAAATTTCTAGAATAAACAAAAATAATCAATTTTAGAACAATCGCACATTTATGTAAATTACCCTATTTAATAAAAATTGGCTTAAATTTTTTTTTCCACATTTTGTTATTTGAACTATATTTTGTTTTGAATTTCCATTTCCTTAAACTCGTTAAAATATGAGATGAAAAAGAAAATTGTAAAATATGCATGTTTTTGAAAGATATAGCCATAATTCAAAAACAGCAAAAAAAATAAAAGAAAGTGATATAGAAGATGATCTTTAAGTAGAATACTGGAGGGCATCATATAAAATAATTAAGGTCTATATCTCTTATTTGATTCCTGTAATTTCTATAAGATATTAATAACTTTTCCTATTTTTTTTGGCTTTAGAGATTAGCTTTTCTTTCTGGTGAGTTGTGTATGCCTTGGAAAAGAGAAGAATGTTATCTTGTGCTTTTTATATTTGTACATTTATTAGCATTTTAACAGTGAATTATACTTTTCCCCTCTCAATAGACTTAGGCTATAAAACTTGGTGCCTTCAAGGTACTTGATCCCATTATTATTAATTTTAGCATTCTACATAACTACTCTCAATAGCCATTTTCATGATAATTTTACAATAAAAGTTAACATGCAATCAATACTAGATGCTTTTCAGTTCCATGAAGAAAACAACCATAAATGCACAGAAAATAAATAATGATTATAAATTAACAGCCTAACATGCCATTTTATCTATCAGGTATGTGTATATAATGTCCATCCATCCATTCATCCAGACAAGCACAAATGCAAAAATATAGTTCCAACTAATCCAATAAAAGACGAGAGAAATGCAAAACAAGAAGAATTACAAAGATGTAGTTAGTGTTGGCCCTGTACCATGTGGAAATGGTTGAATATTAAATGATTCCAAAAAACTGGAGAAATGGCCATGATCACACAATTCAAAGAACAACTAAATAAAAAATTGGTAGCGTCAAAAACAAAGGTAGCTGGCCCAAATAGCTTTGTTAGACTCTATTGCAGTGAATACAAATTTCATTGGCATCATTTCACAAACAACATCGAAGCTTTGTTATATTTCAAAGTGCATTGAGAAGACAGCATCACTGCATTTATGAGTAGAGAAAGATGAAATATCCTCTATTTGTCCAATGATTGTATTAAGTAGGGGGCTGGAGGTGAACAACATCAGATGCTATCAATTGCTTTACGCTACATGGCTGCATGGTAATAAAAGTACAAAACAATAAAGTAATAAAAAACATGTGTATTTATGTGTGAGTGTGTATACCCGTGTATACCTCAAATTTAGGATGAAAAACTTTGTAAGTTCAAGTGCAGGCATATGCCAATCTATGAACAATCTGAGAACAGAGCAAGCAAGTTGCATCTTCTACTTCTTAAATGATATATCATTCAAGAAAACAAAAGACATTAAGGCATATAGGGTAAAAAACTTTTTTAAGTTGAACTGTTCAGGCATGAGCTCATCTATGGGCAATCGGAAAGCAACTTGCATCTTTTACTTCTTAAAAAATAGATCATTTATGAGAACAAAAGAAGTTAGGGACTATCAATAATAATTCATACTGCATGCAACAAGAGACCAGAAAAAAAACAAGGAAGCACAAAAAGCAGAAATAATTAATCACGGTCAATAGATCTAAATTATATGGCAGGGGAATATGCTTGGAGCATAGATACTTCCAACTGAATCGCGCATTTCACTTCATCGGCTTGGCTTAGATATTCTTTTAACTTAAGCCACCAAAATTCCAATAATTCGATTCCTAACGACACACGGGGCAAACCATATTGAAGATCCTTACAATATAATAATTTAAGCTTCCTAATGCACGCGGATTGAATCAGGCTCTTAAAAAAAGAATAGATCCACGTGGAGATAAGAAGCAGTCATTCAGTTATTAAATTCTCAGGTCCTCGTGTAAGCGGTAAACAAAAGCAATCCAATTCCTATTACCACGATCATTACAAAAAACAAACAACACCAAAATTCAAAGCAACAAGTAGGAAATATCGGTTAAAAACACTATTAACCAAGCAAAAGAACCTCAGCTCATCCGTAAAGCAGCACGCGACCCCTTTCGATCAGACACTGAAGATCAGGAACCGCCGGATTTATAGCGATAGAGCTTGCCAAACACGTGGAGCGCAGTAACAAACCCGATGAAGCATAAACTCATCACAAGCACAACCGTAGGCGACATCTTTAATCCAGGGGCATCATCGGTGTAGAATCTCAGCATGTTGCTGCCGCCAGCACCGCCAGTGAATCCCCCCGACCCCCCTCCGCTACCACTGGCGATCCTTCGCCTCCTCAAACCGGCCGCAGCAGCCGGGGTGCCACGGGGTCCCGCCGTGGTTGGGCGGCCCGCACCACCGGCCGATGATGTCGTCTGCGACTGCGAACTTCCCCTCGCCATCGTCGATCGCCCGCTTTCAGCTTAGGGTTTCAGATCCAACAATCAGACGTAGAGAGCATAAAAAACTATGCTTGAGATATTATATATTGTCCCACCACGCGAGCCCCGGGGAATGGCGAAATGGTAAGTAACACCTCGTAGTAGTAATAATAATAATAATAATAATAATAATAATAATAATAATAATAATAATAATAATAATAATAATAATAATAATAATAATAATAATAATAATAATAATAATAATAATAATAATAATAATAATAATAATAATAATAATAATAATAATAATAATAATAATAATAATAATAATAATAATATTGATGATGTATGAATAACATTAAAATAGAATTAGCGGAGTTTATTAAAAATTTATTAGAATTATAAGTCATTGAAATTAATACTTCAATAATCTTTCAATAATCCTCTAATAACTGTTCAGGGAAGGTTATTATGGGGTTATTACACACAGCTCTTAGTGCATATTACATGCACAGGGTCCGGGTTTCATCTTCCAGTTATAATGATCTGTCATAACACGTTAAGTGTCAATGATTAATAAACAATGTATTTGAGGTAGCGGTGCAGTATCATCTAGCCGTGGTGTGATTTTTTTTTTTAATAAGAGTTTTTATAGTCATCGTAGCTTTTTAAAAAACAACTTTTTCATCAAAAGTTTCACAGTTATTTCTTCTTCTAGTGCACCGGCAGTGAATCTCCCCGACCCCCCTCCGCTACCACTGGCGATCCCTCACCTCCTCAACCCGGCCGCAGCAGCCGGGGTGCCACGGGGTCCCGTTGTGGTCAGACGGCCTGCACCACCTGCCGATGACATCGTCTGCGACTGCAAACTTCCCCTCGCCATCGTTGATCGCCCGCTTTCAGCTTAGGGTTTCAGATCCAATAATCAGACGTGAAGACCATAAAAATTATGCTTGAGATATTATATATTGTCCCACCACGCGAGCCTTCCTCTCCATCTCTGCCGAGGAATGGCGAAATATTTGGGTAACTAAGGCCTTCATAATAATAATGTATGAATAACATTTAAATAGAATTAGCGAAGTTTATTGAAAGTTCATTAGGGTTATAAGTCATTGAAACTAATACTTCCAAGAACCTTCCAATAATCCCCAAATAACCGTGGAGTGAATGTTATTGCGGGGTTATTACATACACAGCTCTTAAAAAATTATGAGGTTTGATCTCATCAAGATGATTCACTATAAGTTTACAAGTACAAATATAAACTATTATCCAACACTATATATATATATTATTACAATGTTATACAAAGTACGGTAGTTGTCAATTGTTGACGGCTATGAAAGCTAGAAGTTATCGTCAGTTATTCATTTCATAGAGATTTGCGAGATTCGGCAAAGATGTCTACGTCTTCGAGAGCTGAGCAGCGAATTTTTTTCAACTTCAGAAAAAAGAGTACAAATACAGAATACAACATCGAATAGCATGGGGTTACAAACAGACCTATATATAACCCTAGATAAAATCCTGTAGTACAATATGTAATTTTCAAATTATCCATGTACTGTGTCGCGGGGTGTTTCCCCTGAACCTCTAACCTATATAACGAAACTCCCCCGATTTGGACAGATTCTTCCTCTTCGCTCTGCTTTGTTCCAGCATATGCCCCTTATATGTTATATGAGTCATACCTAGCAAATATCCACCTTGGCGAATATTCAGTCCCTTAGGAGAAATACATCATGAAGTTTCTTATACACTAAAAGTGGTTTGGGCCACCATAGTCCTCTAACAACTGCAAACATTCAAGTCTTTATAACTCATTATGCTATGAGGTATTATATTGGTGCGTCTCTGTCTGTCTTTGACTATGTTATAATTTTGAAAATCATCTGGGATGGAATCACCAAGTGTTGGATTTGAACCTTCAACTCTCTTAGTTGTTTCTGGATGTTGTTCTAAATTCATCTACATTGCATCTGAACTGGAGTTATTCCCTTGCATTTTGTCTTGACTTTACTGCAACATGGATTATTCATAAAGATTGCATCTCTGTTTATCACCATCTTCTTTGCAATCAGATATTGAAACTTGTATCCTTTCACATTTTTTTTTGTAGCCCAAAAAGATGCACTTATTGGATTTTGCATCAAGTTTTGATCTTTTATCTCCAGGTACGTGCACACAAAAATGAAAGAAAAAATCGTAAATGATTGAAATTAACTGAATTATCTGTCCATACCTCTTCTGCGACCTTGCTACCTAACGATGCCCAATGTGATTGTCCAGAAACTCATAGGAAGTCCTACATTTAGTCTAAAGCATCTTACACTTTCAGTTAAGGACCTTTTCATCATTTTTGCCACACATTATGTTGTGGTGTCTTGCACACTGAAAAATACTTATGAATCTCATGCTCCATACAAAACTTTTAAAACTGTGAATCTGTAAACTCTATGTAATTATCATATCTCAAATACTTCATATTTTTGTCAGTTTGGTTTTCCACCTAAGTTTTTCACAGCTTGAATTTGGAGAAAACTTCAGATTTCTGCTTCAAGAAATACACCCAAACTTTCCTGGAGAAATCATCAATAAATATAATGAAATGCTGAGATCCTCCCGATGACGATTCCCTGATAGGGTCTCATACATCATAATGCACATAATCAAGAATCCCTTCAATTTTGTGTTTTCCAGCCATAAAACTGACTCTAGTATATTTTCCAATAACACATAACTTACGAAGATCAAGCGTGCAGCTTTTAACACCATGCAACATGTTTCTTCTATGCAATTCTACCATCCCACGTTCACTAAGATGACCTAATCACACATGTCATAGTTTTGTGTTATCATTATTTGACTTCACAAAATGAACTCCACCTACAACTGTACTCCCTAACAATTTGTGGATATTGCTTGCATTTAACTTTCCTTTCATCACAGTCAGTGCAACTTTAACGATTATGATGGTTTCTATATTCCCATTTGCCTTAGGATTAAAGTCATTTCTATGTAAATGACCCATAGAAATCAAATTCTTCTTCAGATCTGAAATACGTCTGATTTCACATAACGTTATAACAGTGATATCATACATCTAAATCCTGACTTCACAAATACCAACAATATTAGAACATTTATCATCACTTAAATAGATTAAGCCAGAATTAGTTAACTTATATGAAATAAATCACTCTCTGTTAGGTGTTATATGATAAGAACATCCAAATAGCAAGCGCAACATTCAAATAGATTATTACTCAATTGAACGAGTTATATGAAGACTATACTGTGCAGTACATCAAGCTAAATAATGAAAATCTATTTGAACAAATTCCCAAGCAAGTAAGCATTTTAAATAGTAAAAATCTAGCACGTGTTCACGAGCAAAACCAATATAACATTATAAAGAATAGAACTTCACATAACCATATATTAAATATGTTTATATTTAGGTCTTAATCCAGTATATTAGTGAATCCTAATAAAACTTTTTAACTATCTTGTTCATTATATTTAAATGATAATTTTTAGATCATAAATGAATTGAAGTAAAATGCATTCAAACTATGTTGACTTATTAATAAAGTGTTTGTACATGCGCTCAACTTTACTTGATTAATTAATTATATGTACTGGACCGAGCAATAATTATCGAGTGTTAATTAAGAGAATTACAAATCATTTGTCAAGTATATTCATATATTTACATGTGTACTAAAATCTTCTTCATCGTTGACCCTCATACGTAGCCACCAACATTGCCTTCAAGATGCTCGTCTTCCACACCCTTCCTTCATAGAAGGTTGATCTTAACATACAAGCATTTATTGTAGATGATTTTCTCAATGCATCTTCCGCTATTCTTCTCTATCACACATGACAATACAATTTTAAATTAGAGTAACACAATTAATGACATGATAAATTTAGTGTCTTTTTGGAATCATTTTATTCTTTTTTGTTTATATTTTGATTAAATAAAAAAAAAAACTTGATTTATTTATATATGTTGATTTTTAAAAATACTAAAAAAAACCTACAAGTTATTTTCAATATTTTAAAATTTTAATTTATTTAATTATTTCAGCAATTTAATTTTAATTATATCAAATTTATACTAAACATTTATATTATTAAATTATCTTTAAAATAGATAACACTAATTAGATTAGTTAAGTGATAAATTTTAGGGGTTGTCCCCTAACAAATTAATGTAGGATTTAATTTAAACTTTATGAGAGAAAATATAATATTACATAAAAAATTTAATCAACTATTTATTTTTTCTTCTTCTGAATTTTATCACAGGTTTTAAAAAGACATACATCCATACCACACAATTTTTATATATTTACACAACTAGCTCCTAAATTTTGATATTTACATCTTAGTGTATTGCTCTCATAAAATCATGCATAAACGGTGTATTATGTTTTCAATAATTTAGTAAAAGTTATATTTTTAACGAGATATTAAACATTGGAGCGGCGTTATGTATGCAAACATGGAAATTTAGGTATTATATACGTAAATACATAATAATTGTGGGGTACGAATGTAAATGCCCCATATATTTCACAGACAGCCCTTAATGTGAATTGAAAAGGATAACGGTGGACTGAAGGTAGAAGACGGAAGACCTGCGAGCCAAGGACGCCGTAACCGGAGGTATTCTCTCTCTCGATCTGGAGCTCTTTTCCAGTTTTTTTCTTCTTGCGGCCTCTCTCCCAAATACACAATCCAAAGCCCTAGATAAAGGATTGCTGGGAATCGGATCTTCGGTCACTCCAAAAGTTTGATAGATCAATCTTCGAAACTCTCTTTTTTGATCAGAGCAAGTCTCGCCTTTCTGTTGCCCTCTGCTGCATTTTTTTTTTTTTTTTTTTCTTTGTCAAAAGCATTTTATCTCTATTTCTGAATTAATTTTTGCAGGGGAGATATAGGGATAGGTCACTTTCGGCATGGGCGTCTCTGCTGATGGCGGGGTATGATGACGATTATCCCTAATCTTCATATTGTATAGCACATGCATGGATCAGTTGAGAATTTTATATATTTTCTTTTCCGCATACATACATTTATTGATCATTTCTTGGTTAGCTAGAAACTATTGTTTTCTAGCCTTTTTAGTTTATCACAACAAGCAAATGTAGTCTCACTGACTCCCAATCCAGCTTTATTACATTAATTTTTGCTGGATCTGATATTTTTTGCACGTTGTTATGCTATATCGGTTTGAGGTTTTATGATTTATCCTTTTTGTTTTTGTAATTTATTTTTTTTGATGCACTATTCTTGTAATGCACAATTTTAGGATCATTTAAAATTATATGTGCAACATGTTTATTCTAGTAGGAAGCTAGTTATCTTATGACATATTCTTCAAGATGATATGAAACCTAGTATTGCATTCATATTTTATTATGATGGGTTTGCAAAACAAGAATAAATCGTTGTTTGGGGAGTGCAGGCCTACTGCTAGATCTAACACCCATGGAAAAGAGAACTAAGTAATTGAAAGGGAGCACTCTAGTGCTTGTATTAAAAGGGAGATATTCAAAGCTGAATTGAGAGCTGTTGTGTTAATTTTTAAGGTCATATTTAGAGTATTGAGATATTGATCAGGAGGTCAAAATAACAGATACATGAAGAAAGAAACAAGCTAAAAAGCCGTTGAGCTAAAGGAGCAAGAAGAATAACCTAACCTAAGAATTTTGGGCAGGCCCAAAACAACCCAACCTGACCCATGGATTGGGTAGACCAAGATGGGGCTGGTCGCTACTTTGTATCAAACGGATGCCATGATATCCCTTTATCCTTTTTTTTGGTTTAAAAATATCCAATTTATGAAGAATCTTTTCATGAATGTTGCATCCATTCATTCACCTCTTCATGAATTGTTGCATTAGTTCACTCACCCCGCTTCATGTAAAGGATGCTGAAACACCCAACCAGATCTATGATGAGGCGGGGATGACCACCATGGGGCCAACCAATTGTCATTCAATGAATTGTTTTGCAGTTTATGCTTGGTTGAAAATTAATTGAACGCTGTTTTATTTTTATCATTTGAAATTGTCTCATCCTCTTCTTTTCTATATGACAAAACTTCTAAGCACTCAAGACTCAATATTTGATGGAACTCTTGTACATGCAGATGCGGGTAGCAAGTTGGGCAACAGATAGACACTCTACCTTTAATGGAGCTTCTTAGGTGGAGGATCATGAAATGATTTATATTTTTGCAAACAAGCAAGGAATACATATCAAACTAATATTTAAGAGTTATACGTATGATGGTGACCAATTGAAGTCCGTAGTTAATGAAGCACCCTAGAATGCAAAAGATAGGATTAATGTGAGACTTTGATACCACTTTATATGAATCATATGAGAGAAAGTACTTTTATTAATGAGCTACCAGAGAATAGAGGGAAGGGGAACCGATAAGGATAGGATCAATGCGACTCTCTAATACTACTTTATACATATGAGAGAAAGAACTTATATTGATGAGATACCCAAGAATAGAGAGAAGAGAAAGAGATTGAATGGGAGGCTGTCAACAACTAGCGAATGTCAGTTTTAGCACTGATTTCAAATTACACAATGAGGCATCATAACCTCTAATATCCTATTTATTTCGGTAGAAAATAATAGTGATGATATGGAATAAAAAAAGAAAAGACAATACAATTACAAATCACTAAATAAAACGGGAAAAATGTCTTATCAATCAACTCATCAAAGTCATATTTAAGTTTGTATCTAACAACTGTTATCATTAGTCCTCTTATTAGTTGAACTAAGAAAAGACACTCTCATTAAATCATCTTCTCAGATCAATCTCTCTTAGTTTCTAAATTAATACATTTGTATATTAAGGTGACGGAGAAATAGAACTTGATTAAATTTATAAGTGGAAATGTTTTGAGGGAAACTTAGTGACAAGGATACCATGAATCCTATTATGCTTTGAGAGATATTACAAGCCATCCTCCTTCCTAGGAAGAGTAAATTGAGCCCTTCAAAATGAATCAAGGAGTTTGTTTTTCAAGTTCCCAAGTTGCTTTTCATTCCTTTTGAATAGATCTAATTCATGGACCTCTTGTAGTTTTCAATAAGATACGTTGACTCAAGACTTTAAGAAAATTGTCCTTAATATTTTAAAATGTGCCTTTTTTATGTAAGATTCATGATAAAGGAATTCTAAATTTAATTGAGGCAAATTAGTGATTAATATATACTTTGGGATGGAGCCAAATCCACGTAAGTCTTGAGAAGGCTTATCTTGCAACAACATGATACTTAATTCGATGGGCATCAAAGAAAGAAGGTATACACTAACCATGCTTGTTACTAGTGAATAAGACAACTTAGCATAGCTGTCCCATGTGCTCACAACTCATTGTGCAAACCAAACTATTTTTAGAAGTATTATAAAATATTAAAAATCATGAATAGTCTATTAAGCATCTACATTTTGAGAAAAATAGTTTAATGCAAAAAAGTACTTTCATATCATATTAATTGAGTATAATATTATATAGCATAAATGAATATTAATGCAAGCTAATTAGTAAAAAATTAAAGGCCACAATCATTAAGCAAACTTAAAGCATCAATGATAATGCAATAACCTTTTATCTAAATAGATTTTCTAAAAATAAGCATTAAATAAACAATAAATCTAATGTACAAAAGAGGAAGAAGATGCATACAATACAAGAAGGAGAAAGCTTAAATAGTTATTGTATAATTATCACTACAAAGTTGTGCGAAGTAATGTCGAGGATGAGGGAGAACTTCTAATTGGCATATATGTCTTTTTTGTCATGCTTCTTTGAAGGCTTGATCTATCCAGTTTTTGGTTCTCACATGCTCGTTGCTTTTAGATTAGAGACTCATGTATGGCTCGACTGATTGATAATGATTCATATCAAATTATGCTAGTGTCTATATTTTTGAAATGATGAATGACCCATTTTTTAATAAAATTTAACTTGTGACTTTCTTCGATGATAGTGCCCATGGTTTATGCAGACATTGATGACAACCATTGCTTCAAAATTAATGACTTAATTCATTTTTGTTGTCACAAGAGACCATCATTGTTATTGTAGCTCATGTTTTTATGGGAGGTTGAAAGGTCAAAGATTAGGGTCCTTTGGGAAGCATGAGTGGGTGTGGCTAGTTTGATGACATGAAACCTTAACATACTAAAAAAAATAATAAAAAAAAGAAGATAAATTAGCTTAAAAGCAATTAATTTAAATGAGAAAAAAAACATAAAAAAAATAAGTAGGATACAACATGTGTGCTTTGCGCCATTTTAATTTTTTTTTCTCATTTTCATGAAATAGCATATGAGATGTATTATGTTATACAATGGATTTAAGACATGCAATTGCATGTTATTGGTATCTATGATGACCGAGCATTTATGTTACTATTACACGTGTGAATACTGGCCGATCCGATTGCTTCTTTTTATTGTAGATGAATTTTTTTAACTGAGCTAAATCGAGTCCAAGTTACCCTTCATTTGAGCTTAGCTTAGCCATTATTAGCAACATTGACCTCAACATCATGAGTTTGACTAATTCTTGAGTTTGAAGTTATTGATTGGCTTGGCAAGCCATATGTGTGAGTAGAAAGTGATTGAGGAGGATGCAGATGAGGTTGTTGATGACCGGTGAGGCCTGACAATGTTTTGGGAGGAAGATTAGTTAGTGTACTTGGTAGGGAGGTAGAGTTGAATGAGGGATAATAAAGTGCACTGGGGAAAGAGGATGGTGTTGTTCATCAGGAGGAGGTTTTGAGAATAAGGAAAACAGTAAAGAGACACCACACTGGATGAACCAGGACAAGCAATGTTAAATATAGTGAAGTTGGATTAGAGAAAGAGTTTGGTTTTTTCATGACCTCGATGGTTATCATTTACTGCTACACGTCTATTCAATTTGGCTCTTGATTTCTTTAGTTTAATAGTTTTTGGTTTCTTATTCAAATATATTATAATTTCCTTTGCTTTCTTTTCAATCACTGGTCAGACACTGTTTTCGAATAGTACTATTGCTATTGCCGTTGATTCGGTGTTTTGTTGGTTATAAAATTCAGCTCTCTATTTCCGCCCAACTTTAATCACCATAAGTTTATAATTATTGCCTATACTTAAGCATTCCTACACTTTCAAGTGCATTTCATTCATCCACTTCCTTTCTTTGACTTTCCTTACTAGTAGTGATGTTTGAATGGTTGTTTCTTGCTATGGTAATTTCGGACAATATCTAAGTTGGATGTTCTATTTCTTTACCGATTTTGCTCTGTGATTGAAACTGAGAGTTATTGTTTTTGTTGGATGGAATTGAAGTTTGTAGCATTTATATAGATATTGGAGGATTCATAGAAGTTGCTAATTTTGTGATTTTTTTATTGTAAGTTTGATTCTTAAGATATGTAATTTTTCAAGAAAATTATTGAATATAATTTTATTTTCTTTCAAGTTTTTGCATGTGCAATTAGATGTGATTTTTTTTTATTGTTTTGCAAGTCTTCAAGGCAGCTTTCAAGAGATGCTTCTCTCTTTACTCTTTTAGTGTTTTAAAACATTCAAAGGATGCATAAAGTCCCGCTCTTTATATCAATTCATTATTTTTGTTATTCTTTCATCTAAGTTATTGTGTTTGGTTTATGTACATGATTGAGATTTTTTTTGTTTGTGTTATATTAGTTTTGATTTTTTTTATGGGAATCTTAGGGTTTGTCTGGGGCAGTTATAGCTTATCTAGCTTATTCTGATGAGCAGCTTATCCGGATCAGGCTGTTTGGTTTGTGCATTTGGAAAACAACTGATATGCAGTTGTTTCTGGATAAATGATCATTATATCCCTGATCTAGATAAGTTGACTAGCTGTTTGATTTGTACGTTTGAAAAATAACTGATTTAAAAGTTGATTTTCCAATTGAATCAAAATTTCTTTTGT